GTATATCATCTACCACATATTATTATTGTTACAAGTTGACAGCACTACGACACTCGCAGGAGAATTCCTTAATTGCGTTTGAGCTGTTAGTACAAGCCTACCATTTATAATGATAATCAAAGAAAGTAAATATTGGTTATTTAATATTAAGAGTCTGTTGCATAAACATAGAAAATATTTAACTTAAAAATGTTGATCTAACCTGTGTTAGTTCCGAAATACAAAATCGCGAAAAGCTTTTTTTGTAAATCTGTTATTTTATTTTATATCCTAAACTGTAACACCAAAGAATTTTTGTTCGCGTTTGCTACAGGTCCCACGCTGGCTTAATCCGGCACTGATTGTCACAAAAATTCATTTTATAAGTTCTTTGTGTACACTGGTCTTTCTGTATTCCCTGTGTATAAACTCCTGTAAAAAGAAACCAAGTCCACGGCTCGTATAATTTATTCTGTCAATTAGGCGTAATTATTCTTTTCGACGTATTTGCATGAAAATAGCAAACTCGTTTAGATAAAATTTTCTATGTATTCCTTGCTTTTGTTGCAGACATTCGGCAGTCGATGTGGACATAAAACTGAGAGACACAACGGACTCTGCCACGGTGTTGAAATCACCAAACGCGTACCCCTTACTAACATCCTATGGTCAGTCAGCCCCCGTGGTACCATCGCTCAAGACTCCCAATGATCAGGTTGATAATGGAGGCAAAAAGGGGAAACCACCAGACCAAGTCGTTAACGTCATTAGTAACGATCCCAAACCTGTGATAGAAAATAATACTTCAGTGCCTTCCCCCAAACGCCTGTCTGAAAAGAGATTTCTCTCACCACCATCAGAAGACGAAAGCGTGGCAGTAACATCTGTCGACAATACTCAACAGCAGGAATGCCTTACCGCAAACGATCGTGGTGGAAGCAGAAAACAAACGCTTGTCTCTTGTCGAGAGGAAAGATCAAGGTAAATACTCAAAGAAAATGTGGATTTAGTACCTTAAGATAAATGCTGTTTTCAAAGAAAGTCGTGTTGTATCTACGAATAATATACTTGACATCTCGTAAATAGTGAATAATGTTTCAACTCAAGAGTCAAGTTCATTTGACAAATTGGTAAAGGCTTTCGCGGCCAGTAGGTAAACTGATGCTATTCTCATTCGGGTCTAAAGGCCGTCGTGTATTGGAGTTGCTTCCTAACGTTTCGTTAGTACGAGTGGCGAGCTTCTTCAGAGGTCCTTCCATCAGAACAGGATCAGCTCAAGTTTATTTGACCAACCATAGTTGATCAACAATAATTGAACAAAAACTGTACTGATAATACAACCTTCGTTTCAATTGAGTTGATCAACTTCTAGTTGTTCAAGAAAAGTTTGACTGACTACTGTCGTTCAAATGATAAATCATTATGCATTACTTTCAAGTTGAAACGTGTAATCTAGGCATACAATTTGTTTGTGGATTGTGAAGTACAATAGCAAATGGGCGCGACGCATACGTTTCTAAATTACAAAATATTAAAAATTACCAATAATAAAACACAAAATTAGCGTCAAGTGGTGTAAATGTGTTATGCTATAATTTTTGGAAGTATATCGTAAACATGATTGAAACCACCGCATTGATGAGTATAAAAATAATGATACACGAGAAAATAGTTTGTAATCTATTGTCAAAAGAATGAAAATTTCTAATCTTACTGTTCATGAACAACTGCATTCGATGCTGGTTCTAAACTGAAACTGTTTATCAATTTATATTAAAATGCGTGAACAAAATACCTTTTCTTGATCAACTAAACTTGAATCGCGAGAATGCACCTTGCGCATGAGAAATTTCAAAGCCATTTGTAAAATTGAATTTCATATTTAGCAAACGTGTCATCGTTTTAGAAAACTAGAGAACCCCGATTTTCCAAAAATAATGTGAGCTTAAGCGAATTTTGAAAATTGAAATTTCGAATAAAATATTCATATTCCCCCTTCTTTATATTTTTCCGTCATGGCTCTGATTATGTCGGGACACTAGACCATTTTTCAATTTTTTTTGCAACCTTTTTTTCATTTCTGCAACGGGACAGAACGCCCGTACCCATTTCATATGCTACCGTTTTGAACAATTTACCGTAATTTCCCAGTCTTTATAGTTTTCTGTTATAGCTCTGATTATGTTGGGACACAAGACCATTTTTCAATTTTCGGAAACCTTTTTTTCATTTCTGCAATGGGAATGACACCTGTACCCAAATCACTTGCTTGCTTGCAATTTTAAACAATTTATCTGCACCTAAATGTCTGATTGCCTCAACATTCGTATGCTTCGTTTAGTTTCTGTAGCGATGTGACCTTCAGTTTAACCGGCGCAAAGTAAAAAAGAACAGTACTAGGCCAGAAAAGAAAGGAGACAACTCTCAGCCAAACTCTTAACCTGTGAGGAGCGTATAATCCGTACAGTACTGCAAGGAAAAATTGACCATTTTATCCACTACAATTGCATTGCTCAAATGTGCTGTTATTTGTACCAATTACTACTGAAAATATCAACGAGATGTTTATTTATATTTGAAGACATATTAAAGGCTTTAACGCTTGTTTTCGACTCGCACTACTATTCATGATTGAACAAAACTTTTGGCAGGTACTGTATGAAAAAGTATGTTT